ACTATGTCGAGGTCTGTATTTCCTGTTCAGCTCTTTGAGGTATTGCAGAGGGAAATGAGCTTCTGTCATGAGTAAAAGCCCACGAATTTTAGTTTAGAAAACACAGGGTTTTCCATAGTTATTTCTCTGTCTGATGTAAGACCTTGAAGAAGTGACTTAGTTCTGAATTTCTACATATACAGAAATTCCTACAAAGTTGAAGATATATGTGGGTATGTGGAAGATATATGTGGGAGATATGCTCAGATAGATCAGTTGTGTTTTTAAAGGGTGAGTCCTATCTTGCACATCTCTGTGTGTGAATTGTAGGACTCTCCTTTGGCTTTCTACCAAGTACTGAGTGAATTACAGAACTGACTGTGCACAAAACATCTCCTTTATGAATATGGCCTCTGGGATGGTTCCTATTTCCATAAAATAGTACTATGTATCAGTTTTCTTACTTTCAGTGGATAGTGGGTGAGAGAAGAATGAAAACACGGTTGAAAGGGGAAAAGTGATTAACGATGGATTTTTTTGAATTACAGAATCAGAATATTAGCTTATTAACTTATTATTAATTTCCAGTGAAGTTTCTGGATACATACTTTAGGTAAAATAACAGTTTATTTGAAAGTGGTACAACATTTTAACTTGTTCTGAATATTTATAATAATATAAAAATGTGAGTTGGCATGTTCCTTAATGACAAAAATTTTATGATGTATAAAAATTAGATTTAGGAGGAGACAGTTAACTTGCCTTTCTCAAATATAAGTATTTATTTTCTCTCCTCTTCCCAAGATGTAGCACACTAACTTTGTTAAGGAGCATACTAGTCTTGCCATACTGAGGAAAGTCAAAGACCAATTTTGTTGATTTTTCTTAGTATACTAGTTTATTTTCTTATTTATTTTATGAAAGAAAATGCAAAGAAAATTAGTCAACAAAAGCTAACAAAAGTGGAACTCAATGAAATGGGAGGGATAGAATATTAATGGAGTAACAATGTGAGAACTGAAATGATTTTGGATATGTAATTTTTTTAATAGTAAGTCACCTTGAATCCGAATCATTTTATACACTCCTGAAGGTTTAAGACCAGACACTATTTGAAAAAGAAATGGTAAAAATAGCTGAAGAAAGTGTGTATATTTCTGCAAAATAATATCCCTTGTGAGGCAGAGATAATTCAGAAATTATTCTGAAATAGTTCACTTATACCAAACAATGGTTTGGGCTTTCTGCAAAGATATGGAAATCTGTCCTTGTACCATTACATTATCCTCTAGGCAGGAACAGAATTGGATTTTTTTCCTAAGATGTTATGCATAAGAGTGATCCACATACTTAGCCTTTGCTGTTTCCAAGGTATTGCTTTTATTTTTCAGCAGCTGCGCCTGCTGCATGGACAGTGGCCAAACAGCAAACACAAGACTTGGACAACAGCTAAGAACTTGTAATTGCATTTTCAGTCAATCTGAATTACATTCTAATGGGAATGAGAAAGCATTTTCTTTCAAAAAGCAAAGCTTGAACATAGAGTTCTAGCATAAATTTTATATATATGTAGATGTATATGGATTTTAAAGTTTCACTGTCATTTTTAATATACTGAAATACCTGCACACAAAAAATTGGTAACAAAACTGAGTTGCAGCCAATGTGATTTTTTTCTTGTTGCTGTTGTTGTTGTTTTTGTTGTTTTTCTCTCATAATTAAAAGCAAAAGAGAGCAAAACAAAACAAACCACCAACTTCTGAAAATCACTGTTAGGAGATTGCAGTACAAATGTAAAGTGGATCAGGCAAAGTCAGTGTGTAGGGAGTTTTTCCACTGAGTTCAGTCCTTCACATATTGAGAAAAAGAACTGACTGAAACCTGGCCAGTAAACTAACTGGTTGCAGTTTCTCTGACGTATGTAATACACTTGATGGCATAAAATGTTGACAACTTTATGAAGACTGCTATAAGTAAATACTAAGATGTGAAGCGATGGTGTCTTGGGTTGTTTTTTACTCTTTTAAAACAAAATTTGTTTATTCCTTTTTTTTCTTTCTTTGCATTTGCCAGAGTGCTTTTTCTTACTAATGTGGTTCTCTATAACAAGGTAGTATAATTTCTGAGCATTTAGCTTTCAAAAGCCAACAAGGCTTTCAAAGCCAGAAAGATTAATTAAGTTGAAATACATCGAGTATTATATATTCCATGAGTTGCATACATTTCTGAGTTTGCTTTTACCCAGTGCTCTCTTTGAGACAAAAAGGGCCCAAATTAGGATAAATTTAATTTTCCATTGTTTCCACCTACAGCTTGGAAACAGATTGTTAATTAACTTCATGTGGCTTTCAGCCTGAAAGAAAGGGGGAACACATTATTGTATTACTGTGGCAAGCAACAAGCCCAAATGTATTTGTTCTTATTGATAATGATAACTCATGTCTTTGTGTAGGCCATGGATATCTGAATATCCTTTGTAGGGAGGAGGTAAACAGTCTTTGCTATGGCTTTAGGAAGACAAAGTGTTTCTGCTTTTGCTTCACAAGTTTCATCTTGAGAGAAAATTGTATTTGCCACAGAACAAGGTATTTTCCAGCTTAGCAATAACTTTATTGATGTCTTGCCTTGTTCTGAGATACGATTTCTTCACTGTTGAGGGGTTTTTTTAATCTTAAGAACAGAAGAACATGCCTGACTGTGACAGGCAAGAGTGTAATTGTATCCTGCACCATGAACGTAAATATGTATACATGACCATTTCAAACTCTCAAAACTTGTATTAAGTTGGTGGATCCTATTAACAGGGAACTGATAAATTATTTTTCCTAAACTTTGGTATTAGTTCAGTTAGGATTCCTAAACTACTGTGTTAGAGATAGTCATTGGTCTGAGTGTGAGCATAATTTTTCTTAGCCAAGGATAAACTGCACCCAAACACATTTGGACAAATGTCTCGGTCTGCACTACTCCTTATCTTGTAAAAATCATTTGCAGCTATCATTACCCTTGTATACAGTAGCAAATTCCTTCTGAAAAACAGCTTCTTTTTTATTCAAAGTCAGACACTTTACTTGAGACAAGTACAGTATTGTCTACAGGCAATACTACTATAAAGTTAGACACTTTTGAACTGGTGCCACAATACCATTAGATTAGGTAATTTAATTTTTCAGGTTTATGACAGGTTTGGGATCAGTCTATATATTTCTGAATTTCTAATTCTGTAGAGACAGACTGTCTAACTGTTTTTCTTTCAGTGGAATTAGATCGTTGTCCCCATTCTGGTTGCTGTGGGACTTTGCCAAAATATGTCAGTTATTTGTTCTTTCTGTAACTTCAAATACTGTCTGAGTAATGATCTGACCTTGTTTACCAGCATCCTTGAGTAGGTGACAGAACTCTTTAGGGAGAATTAAAGTTCCAAAAGGTTTTATTTATTTTTCCTTCTGCTTATTTGTGTACATTCTAAATGCACAAACTGAAATGTTTTGAGAGAGTTTTTAATAATCATCATTCTCATTAATGTTCCTGGTGCTGTGCCCAAAACTAATCTTAATTGGTGCACTTCAGAAGATGTGTACTAATTGGAAAGAGTCCAGAGCAAACAGATTTTATCAGACATCTAGAAAATGTGATCTACAAGGAGGGGCTCAGCTTGTTTAGGTATTTGAGCACAACAAAAGGAAAAATAGAGTCTGTTCAGGGTAGTTATCTTTGATGATAATTTGACCTGCCCTCAGTGGGGGGGTTGGACTATGCATTATTGGTAAGGCTTGTTGGGAAATAAGTATTTTGAAAAGAACCTCATGATAGAAATGCTGAGCTAAGACTTGAGAAATGTGCACTCAGTTCTTGTCTCTTCCCAAAGTGGCCTTGGGAAATCTCTCTGTTCTTTGATCCACCAGCACTAATGTGTTAATATTTTTCCACTCTGTTTTGTTTATAGGTCTTAAACCAATTAGGACTTTGGCACTGAAAACATAACTCTGTCACGCTTGCAGCGCGTGAATCTAAAAGTGCTCCAAACAAGCCTTGTTCTGCCTCTGACTCTTCAAAATATCCAAACTCACCTGTCATTTCACTTTAAAATTTTCCAATTGGCTTGCAGGATTTCTGACTTTGCCTAGTATTGTCTCAGTCTGAACAAATGAGTAAATAAGTTGCTTAAAGTCACTTAAAAGCAGGAGCTGGTGCAACTTCAAGTTGTCTCCTGTTATGCAGAGTCACTGTGTACATTTGCAAAAGTTCTAGAGACCTAAACTGCATTGGTTTCAGAGCTGACTTTCATCTGGTTTCCAATGTCTCAGGCTTGCAAGTTCATGCCTCTGAGTCATGCTGGTTAGGACATCTCATTGAGCTTGGGTTGTTCATCAGACAGCCAAAACTATTTCAGCTTGTTTGCTGTTGGCTATAGATAAAGTGGCTCTGGCAGCATAGACCAGTCCCAAGATCTCCCTGCTGAGGGCTTTAATTGATAAGTTAATGTAGTTGTTGGCATTTACACCTAGGAGCAGCCTTCTGTTCCAGAACTGGATAGCCTGCTTATGCTCCTGAGAAGTATAGTGGCTGTGCTCTGAGCTTAGCTTTTGCTGTTGATCAGCGATGTGTCCCTTTGCTCAGTTGAGTGCAGGATACATTTTGATTTGCTTAAGCTGTCCACACAGTGCCTATTAATGTACTGGCACCCTGTGAAGTGTACCTGACAGTTTTCAGCTCTTATTTTGTGTGCTCTGATAGTGGGTGGAGGGACTCATTATCTTGGTTATGACCTATAGGCATTGCAAAACAAATTAAAACATACCTACATACCTACTTATCTCAACTATTTCTTATTTATCTCAACTATTTTTTAAGTGAAATAGAGGAGTAGAACATATTTGAAAGTGTCTACATTCCAATTGCTATCACTTCATTTGAATACAAGTGAGTATCGTTTGGTAAATAAGTTTTGTCTACAGCATTTCATAGGCTCATTGTTTAAGAGGAGCTGGATTATAACTTTTATTCCCTAAGAGCTCAAAGCTAAGTAGAAGAAAATATCTTGCAATAGCTTAAACCTGAAAGAAGGCAGAGATCTGGGTCAGCTTTGTCCTCTATCATTCTGCTTGGGTGGTTCATTCTACATATTATCAACATCAACATTTGAACAAAAGCAGCAGCCAGCTGAAGCTAATCTAACCATGATTAAGGTAATGCTGATTAAGTTTGTACATATATCGATCCTGTTTATACAGGATCCTTTGTGGTTGCTGTCACTACTTTAAACTCCTGTTCCCACCCTTTCCAGAGTGTATAGCCATAGTAACAACTCATTGCAGTAAACTCTTCAGCAATAGGGGTTTTGCTCAAAAATACTTTGGGATGTTAAACTAGATCTGTGTATTTCACACATAAAAATGAGGCAGCTGCATTGTTCTGAGCTGCCATTAAGAAAGTAGTCTGTTATTTTTCATAAAATGGTTATTCGCTGCCTGTACTGCCATAGAAATACAGATTGCCAGGTGATGTGTTCTGTGTAAGTCCCCCGTAGGAACAAATAACATCTGATTCCGTTCTTTGGGTGATATTTAAGAACAATATGGAATTTCTCATTGTAGTGATTTTCTTTTGGGGTTGAAAGTCCTGGGAAATTCTAAAGGAGCTTCTGAGATTAATCCTGTATGCAGTCTTTAAGTAGTTAGCAGACGTATAAATATCCCACCCCTAAAAATGCATACGCCATCTGTAAAGTACTTCAGTGGATATGAGATACAGCAACTTGCATCCTAAGCAATAAAGATAAGAAAGAACTTTCCTGTTCACTGTTTCTGTTTTTCCCGTTCCCATTTTTCCTGCCAGGTCTCAAATCTATAGGAGAGTAGAGGGCTGTAGAGTTCACAGTATGTGAAATGTGGAGTTTTTAAAATAAATGACTAAGATCTGTTTTAGTAACTTTTTATTTTTTTAATTAATTCCAAGACATATAGCACTGCCCACTTCAAGAATAAGACTGGACATCTAGATGGAATGTTTGTTCAAGGTCTGGCCCACACTTCTCAAAGCCTTGTGCAATGAAACTCTTGATTTGCAAGACACTTAGATAAAATAGCATGCAGGGCACATGGGATTAGAATGAGTAGGACTGATTGGAAAGGCTGGCATTTTGATTTGTGAGTTAATACCTTTGGCAAGGGTTTGTTTTAGTGCAAGGCTTGGCTTGTGCTTTGGTGAGGGCAAATTCTGAGAGATGAAATTACAAACTGTATCATTTATCATGATTCAATAGCAAGACTGACCTAAAAACTGTAAAAGAAAAAAGTTACAGTGCTATGATGACATTCAGAGTGACAACATTGTTGCCATGGTGGAGGTTGTAAACTGTTACTGTTGGTTTTAAGAGAAAAACATTAAAGCTCACACCTTTAAATGACTGACTCTTTTCTTTGGAATGACAGAAATAAGACTTTGATATGGAAGTCATGACATTGTTTTAGGCAGTCACTTTTAGTAGCACTTTAAAAGCAGTGGCTTTCCCTGATTTCAGTGGCTTTCCCTGTATGGTTTCTGCATGTTTATTTGAGCAAAATGAGGAGCTTACATGCAGCTGGATCCCATAAACTAAATTAAATAGGTCTGTTTAATTAGCCAGATGATTAAACCTCTGGATCTGAGCTGAAGTGTACTCACTCGGAAGCACTCTATTGTAGACCATGGACACCAGAGAGACAAGTGGTGATAATAATGTTTGCAAAACTGCTCAGCTATTGTCTCCTGCCAATGAGGAGCCATCAACATGAATTCATATAAGGGTTCTGAGAAAATGTTATCTTTTTCAGTCAGCTGCTCAGTCTGCTGTGACCTGTGCTGGGCACAGTGATCGTGCTGGTTACTACCTGGCACAATATTTGTCACAGCATCCTGGCTGCTGCAGGACACTGCCACACTGAGCAGTTTGAAGGACAGATTCAGGTTTTTCACATAAAACATAAAGCCATTTACTCACCTGGAGGCTCTAACCCTGCTCCCACTGAATTCAATTGGAGCATTTATTTCCATGGGACTATTACCTACAGTAGCTTTTGCTGTTTATAATTACATGTTTTTGCTAAGTCCTTTATTTGTTGGGGTTTTTTGTTGTTGTTGTTTTTGGTTTTTTGGGGTTTTTTGTTTTGTTTTGTTTTTTGGGGTTTTTTGAGACATAGAAAAATTTTATATATATTTTTATATCTTTTACAACATATTTTTTAGACTAATTTGGAATTTGTTTGTGGTTTTTGTACATACATAAGAGTCCTAATATTTGCTACAAATAAATGTAATCTGTTTTATTTTGGCTTTCTTGGCTTCTGCTCATTTCCAAAAGTGTTAGTACTTCCTCTTCATGTAACATATGATAGACAAAATACTCAGGTTTTGGTTTTGTAACAGTTCTGATGGTTCCATCCTGTCTTTTGATTAAAAAAAAAAAAATATATATATATATATACACATATGTATGTGTGTGTGTGTATATATGTGTGTATGTATATATATATGTATGTATATATATATGTGTGTGTATATATATATACTTCCTGAAGCCATTTCTGGCAAAGGTCTGGTTGAGGGGAAAGAATTTTAAAAGCATGATTTCAACTTTTTAAATTTTTTAATTATCCTATGGAGGGCAGAGAATATGTGACCTCCTTTTTTATGTTTCTTGGTTTGTCCAGACAAGGGACAGCTTTTACCCTCAAATTCTGCCATTCTCAAGTTTGCCTTGAGTTTTTGGCTAATAGTTAGTGGTTGTAGGCAACATTGGTATGGGGTTCAATTGAATTTGGCTGAAGTGTCGTTGTAATATAAAGAATTTTTATGACCTTAAATTCATAGGTCTGATAGGCTTTTAATTATTTGAGTGCCCTCATTTGCCTCGTGCTGTGCGGTATGGTGAAAATGGTTTAAATCAGTATAGTTGAAAATGCAAAAAGAGTTTGCTTTATTTGGCCTCAATGAATTTATTACAAATCTTTCAGATATTTTAATTGTTTTTCAAAGTTTCACTGCTAAAAAAAGGTTTTCTGAAGGAACAACTTTTATATTGTTCTAGATTGATTTACCCAATGATTGCTCTCTCATTTTAGAGCAGATATGTGACTCAGGAGAAAATTCTGTACTTGACATGTACTTGTGTGTACATGCATTTTTTGCAAAGCAGAACTTTCAGAAAGTAGTGAGACACAAACAAAGAAAGAGTATATACATTTACAATATAATATTAATTACATAAGAATGTGTACTTTTTCTGGATTGGAAAAAATATACAGCTATTATCTTATCAATGACCTTGAAAGTTCTACCTGCTCCTTTTCAGTCAGTCTGATTTGCTGTTACATTTTATAAGGAGCAAGTTGGAACATGTAATTAACTTCCAGAGAATACATTTTTCTTAAGTAATGTTTAAAATAATTGTAGAATATGGATTCCTAATAGTCAAATATGTCTCACAGTGTGCCATAAACATAAAAATTTTTCCCTTTGAGAGCTTTGTCTTTTTATTTCTTGAATCACATTTTTATTTTTTCTTTGTCATTTGGGAGACATTCCAATATATTGAATGAATTTCTGTTTGTTTGAGAAAATGTTTTGTGTCATGTAAACTGTTTTAACTGCCTGGTAGATATTATTGCCATTTATCACTTATTTTTTCCATGATTTATATTACATATGTCTTCGTATTTCTCAGTAAATCAGTCTAGCTGTCCAGCAAATCAATGGATTTTGTCTTTTTTCTTTTTTAAACTATTATGGTAATATTCATCATAACAGTTTTATAAATCTGATGCAAATCCAAACACTGGCCAGCTGTCTCTGGATTGTTTTTGGTGTTTCCTGAAAGTCATGCTGGAATTGACAGAACCAGAACAAGAGATTCTACTATTGTCAGCTGACTGTGAATCCAGAGAAAATCTTATGACCACACGCTGATATGATTCATCCTATAAATCTTCAGTTCTTAGCAGAGGCACCTAATGCAGTAATTCATGCTGGAAGGAGGGATTGGACCTGGGAAGTGCTTGGAACTCCACAGCCCAGTCCATCACAGTTCTGTGCTGCCCACCTGTTTGTGAGCAGGTGGTGAGCACATCAACCCTGAGCTACAGCTCAGGCAAAGATGGGAAGGAAAGGTTCACAGCTCTCAAAGCCCATCAGGAACTCGTTCCTGGTCCTGCTCTCTATCTCTCATTAAAGATGCAGCCCAAGAGGCACAGTGACCATAATCATACTGAACTAGCTTCACTGGATAGGCTTAGCCATTAAAGAGTGTTCATGTCGAGAGGTGAAAGGGAAAAGATGAAAAGGGGCTGCTTCCTGTTCCCCTATGTTGTAGGTTGACATTACCACCAAGAAGTTAATGATGCCCTTGGTAGTGATCCTGTGATCTGAATTTCCACTATAAGGTCTTGTTGGAGATGATATATGACCTTTATATCCCCTTTATATTGGGTTCCTTCAAACTCAGCAAATTCTATGATTCTATTTTATATATCCAGATTTATAGATTTATAGGTCTACAGATTTATATTGATATATACACCAGCATAAAGACTATTTTAGTAACAAGGGAGTAATGTAAAATATATTATTTATAGAAAAAAGATAGATTTTGAGGAGTTAAAAGTTTAAAGTCCTAGCTTGCTTGTCCTTGAATTAAATATAATTGAGGTCTATTACATGCAGTCCTCATTTGGCAAATATCTAGACATTTGTTTTGAAAAAGCATCAATCAAAACTGATGCTGTCCTTTCCATGGTCTAAAGACCAGTTCTGCTGACAACAGTCGTGAAAGCTGCAATTCCTGCTCGCTTCTTTCTGAGCCAACAGTATCCAGACTATAGCAACAGCAGCTGCATATCTTCCCTGGCACAGAATGATTTAGGGTGGAGAGCAGATTCTTTCCCCTTCAAATCACTTCAGAAAATTCTTGGCAGAAAGTCAGCTCATTTGTTTTGTTCGAGTAAGGAGGCCTGATTTATCAGCACAGAAAAAGTATTCTTGCACTGTGCTGAATTGTTTTAATTAATATTCTGTGTCCCAGACCAGTTGACTTTGTTATTCTTCTGCTCCCCACATTTTTAAAATGCATATATAGAATTTAATGTAATTTTAATGCAAATATAGAAAAATCTACAAATTTGTGGCAATGTTTTTTATTTCTTTCTCTGTTGCAGTTTGTGATACAGTTTGTGGTATATGACAGCACTGATCACAGATTAGACTTGGAAATATATTCTTTTTTTGTTTTGTTCATTTTTATTTTTTTAAGAATTGCTGGATCTACTAAAGATATATACCTTAATATAGAAATAAGACTTGTATTCTTGTCTTATACACTTATTAATTTTAGTCAATTCTTCTAAATTCATAATAAATTATTTCTAAATTAACCTATGAAAATTTTTTAAAGTAATAATATAAGGTTGTTTGGTATTCACAATGAAGCAAAGTATTAAAATAATCTCAATTCTGCATTAAATGAGTATAGGATGTTCTGGGATATGGCCCTTTGGTGTTATATGCCATTCAAGAAGTATGGTTTTATAAAAAACTCACAAAGTTTATTACTTTTTATGTATGAATGCATGTGTACATTTACATATTATAGAGAGAGCTATGTTATGTCTCAATTTTTAAGATCATGATGCCTGAATATTTTTTCTATAATTCTGAGATGTTGACATCAGATATATTTTTTTTTGTCTACTCAGCAGGAAATGGATTGTATTTCTGTATCATATTTACTAGAGGAACAGCCAGCTGAAGAGTGATATTTGCTGTTGTGCAGCCTGAAACTGGGAAGTCATGCAGAAAATCAAGGTATGACCTGTTTGAAAGATAAAAGGGCAAATTCTTTGAATAGAGTAGGAAGGCAGAATGTCTATAAAGCTTTCACAATCCTCCCTTTTTCTTCGCCAGAATTAATCTTGTCCTGCTACAATCTGGTTTCAACTGTTCCCTCTATTTTTAGTTACTGATCCTAGCCAGGTCCTCAAATAGCTCAGAGCTGGTGTTGTTTGTGTCTGATGTAAAACTGATACAGACTTGGTTGGCATTTTCATTCATGTTTCATAATCTTCTCTAGTGCATACATAAAGACAATTCTTTGGTGTGCTGGGAGGGGATATGTTTATTGCTGTGGACTAGATCAGACCCCCATTGTTTGACACTTAGGGTGCTCCTCATCTGACCATAATGGAAGAAATAAAAACAGTTTAGTAATACTGAAGCTACTTTATTTACATTTCGTTGCAGAGAGTTAAGATCAGAAAGCTTTTTCTTCAGATTTGTTAAGGACAATCTCAGAGTTTTTCTCTTATTTGTGTATTAAGTCCTTCATACAATCTATATACCATGAGAAAGACCTTGTGAGATAGAAGTAGTGATTTAATTGGCCCTTTGAGAAGAACATTAATTTTTTTAAAAAAGGCCATTAAAGAGCTTTTCAAAAGTCAGTGATACAAATCTTGGTTCCACAAAAGTGAAAGAGTATATATGTAAGACATTGCAGGAGGTATTTATTGATCAATTAAATTAAAATAGGCACATTGGGGAACAAATCTACCAACAAATTTGTGAATAAACCCATTAGTATTTCTTATGAAGTGCTTGCATCTCTAATTGCATTACTTTTTTTTCTATGGTGATGTATGTAAGGAGACTCATTAATACAATTTAAAGCATCTGATGGGAGTTAATTTTTGAAATAAGATTTTTCTTCTTTTCTATGAAATGATGCATCTTTTCAAGCATTATAGATTCTCAGATTTAGAAAATTGGAATGTAGTTGTTAATTTTGGTTCTGTGTCTTTGAGAAATGCATTCAGCAATCCATACAATATTCCTGCATTCTTGTTCCTTTAACTTCACATAAGCATAAAATACTCCAAAATGAAACTGGTTGTTGAATGCAAGCACATTCAGCTTTACCTGTAGAAAAGATGAAACAAGTGTTATGATAAAATATCAAGGAAGGTGAATGGGAATTTTATGTGGTAGCTTTTATGTTCAAGATTTCTTGCAGCTTTGCAACTATGATTATATTTAGCAATCTCTTGAGTATCAGTATAATTGAAATGTCATCTGTGGAATAATTTTGGTAATAGACTACAGCAATATTACAAGAAATAAAAGACAGTGGTAAAATACTTTCTCTAGTAGATTACTCAAAAGAAATTTAATTAAGTGGTGTTTATGAGAGATTTTGGATAGGCTATCAGGATTGATAGCTCTGTAAAAAGTCTTCAGAATATTGTTATAGGATTAATTTTACTTAAAAAGTTAAATTCTTCTATTTTGATTCAGCCAAATGTTGACAGTCATTAAAAATCCATGTTCTTGAATAGAAAGCAGTATAGCAGAATCAAAAGCCTGGTACCTCATTCTTGTTTTAACTATTATTCCATGTGAGTAACAGTAATTTTTGTATTTTAAGGTTAGAAGTTTTACCTCATGTTCAAAAAATGCGTCTTCCAGCGTCTTTTCTCCAGTGCCACTCCCTACACCTTCAAATACAGCCTTGTATTCCTAAAAGCACAGACAACCACTCCATGGAAATAAGGTACTTTTGAATTCTTTGCAGCACAGACACCTTACATTACTTTGTAAATTAATCTTCATTACGTAATCTTTCTGTATAGAGGACCTCCTGTATAGATTACAATTCTACATAAATCAAAATTTAAAAGCATATGATCAGCAAAAGAAAGCAAAATAAGATTTGTTCCTGTATTTCTTATCATCTTTTCCAACAATTTAAATTAATTTGCTGAAGGCACTAAAAGAGACTTATTGTGGAATGACATGTGACCTTTCACTCCTTTGGGCAGAGAGCACTGAACTTCTTGTACAAATAGTATCCATCAGAGCCAGAGCTCTAAATGGAGCCAAAACACTGAACTCTGATCATCACATGGCTGTTCCTTTTATTTCCTAGTCAGCTGGATTTGCTTTACCTGCATTAATATTGTATCCAAATCCATTAGTCAGATTTGTAATCCTGGAATATCCTTTGCAGATACATTTGACTTGATTTCTTAGGTGTTACATTTCTATGTAATTTCCTTCTCTGCGTGTTTGGTTTGTTTTTCCCTTAAAGTACGAGTACAGTAGAGGTCTACTGCAATGGTTCCCAAATTCACCTAAATAACCCACCATCTCATGATCAGTCTTGCTTCATACCTCACTGACATGGTAACTCATGATTAAAATGTTCTGCCTATGCATAGGAGCAGATGTACAGTTCCACCTTTGTGGGTTTTTTTGTCAAAAAAGCAATATACCAGACATTTTCTGTGTGCCTACTTAGCGGTAGCTTAAATATCATAGTTAGAGTACAGCAGTTAATCCATAGATCAAGTGTTGGAGATTAATTAATCTTTAATAACAGCAATACTTGCATATTTTAACTTTAATATTTAATATTAACATTTTCATCTAGTTCTTTGAATCAGTTAGTGATTTAGAGAAAATGTTTGAGAAGGGAATTTTTATGGCATACTGACAATAAATCAGGTTTGACTAATCTGTGACATGAATTGTTTGGTCAGCTCAGTTTAAAATGTTGTATGGCTATGCTCCAAAATCTTGGAGGCAGAAGCAATGAAGTGAAACTCAATTTGGGGAGAATTAATGGAGTAGGAAGAGTTTTATTTACTAGATGTGATTTGCTCTTACTTAAACATCCTTGTAAGAGGAACTTTGTACTGCACTAATGTAATAATGTCTTATCTTAATCTTATCTCTTCATATCAAAAGTCTTTGATCTCATACACATTTTTTATGGGAACTTTAGTACCTCTGCTGATTTTTTTCCTCTCTTGAAAACTCTTTTAACTTATGTGTATACTCTTAAAAATTTTGCTGATGTCAGGAGATGTTAACTATTTTTACACTGGCTTTTTGTTTTAATAAATTAGTTTACATACTGCATAGTATTCTGCAACACACTTCACTTGCTCGTAGTCATCTGCATTGGCCAACAGGTGTAAGCCTTCTGGATAAAGTTTTCCACAGGTTGGATACAGCTTCTCTCGGTCATCTTTACTCAGCTCAGTGCCAAATGAATTAATGGTGATGATAAAAGCACGTCTGTCTGCCTCAAACTTAATATGCAAAACAAAGAATAAAGAGGTGTTATTAGACATCTCTTTCTAAATTAGGGTGGGGCTATCCTGAGGTTTTTTAGTAAGTCAAACTATGGATTTATTTTTTTTTAATTCTACTTGGGAGCATTGGAAACATACCTTATTTTTATAACTGTAAATTCTTCTTTGAAAATATGCATTAAATTTTAACTAGAAAATCAAACAAGATTTTGCAACTACAGTTTTTATTCTGTGATTTTTGTTCTAAAAATATAATTTCTGCTGCTTCCTCATTTCCCTGCTTAGTTACCCAGATGTTGACAAGAAAAAATATCTTCACACACTCTCATGTAAGATTATGCAATCATCTTATAAATAAAACTAATAAAGGAAAGAACGAAGAATCAATAGTACTTCCCATAACTCAAAGTGCTGTTGATAGTAAAAGTTGAATGAAAATCCTAAAAAAATGTTTCTCAATGCACATATTTAAAATGATAATTTGATAAGGAGGAGGAGACAATTTACTTGCTAAGTTAAAGTGTTTCAAATAACGGTTAATTTTTAGTACATAGAAAAAAAGGCTATATTTCTTCTGTCAGGTTTAGATGCCTGTAGTATCTGTATTTTCACTGCAGCAGTAGACTGAAAGGCAATCCAATGTCTAGATCTCAGGTTCTTATTTTGTACAAGGCAAAATTTCACTTACTATTCTTACAGTATGACTTAAAAATGCAGTAGTAAATAAAAACAATCTTCTGTCTTGAGATCTAAATTGACTACGGTTTTAGTTCTTTCTTTTATTCCTTACTTTCATATTTTAAGAACAGCAGAGCCCTTGCTAATTGCAGGGATTACACAGGGAAAATGAAGTATATATAGTATATGCACATTTTAGGTGGCTTACAAAGTTTCTTATGCTGTGAATATTTGAGATAGTTTAAGCAGAGAGGTGCTCTTTCCATTTGAATAATAGGGCTGCATTTGCAACACTAATCTGCCACTTTAGCAAAAACATGTATTCACATCTACTCTTGTGTATGGGAACACACAATAACAGGAACTCACTACTCGCTGGCACTGACTTCACAGTAAGGAAAAAGGAGTAAACAGTAAAGTAATGAGAAGAAAATAAGCATGCTTGAAAAGATTTCTAGCTAATGAATAACAAGGCCAAACTTCACTTCCCTAATTAATAAAAATAAACCTATTAGACCTACTGAAACAATTTTAGAAGGACAAATGTTTTCTTTTTTTAACTTGTTAAAGCCAGGTAGAATCTAGCTGTTAGATGTGTAATATTTTGTTGGTTGAAAATGTTAGAAGCAATTGCAACTAATGGTAGCAGGTGGGACTTCTGCTTCTGGTGGCTTCCAGTTTGAGAGAATTTTTAGGATAACTCCCATCCATTCAGACCTCTCAATTCATCAAATTATTGGCACATGAGGGTCTTCACAGAGAGTAAGGCCATGAGGCAATTACTTGGGGACAGTTCATCTGATTGTTGCAGGTGGAGGTGGAGTCAGAGGATGACCATTTCCTTAGCGAATGTTTGCACGTGGGAGACTGCTGGTTCAGAATTTAGCATGGGGTCGTGCTAACAGACACAGCTTTAGCTGCAGTGCAGTGCAGTCCTGCAGTTTCTTGCCAGATTCAGGGCTAAATATGCAGTGTGTGTGTGCCACATTGGAAAAGAGATCATCAGTACTCTTAATATGGAAGTTTGGCACTATATGTGATAGTCAAGGAGTTGGGGAGCTGAATACCTCAGCCTCATCCGTAGGGTCAGGTTGGTAGTCTTACATATAAGATTACAAAATAAATAGCAAGTATTCATTTGAATAATTCAACTTGTGGGGTTTTGTGAATCCAACCATTAGCAGTGTGTTCTGTGTCTCTTCAGGTTAATAAAATGTTATAGAAAAGGAAATCTTCTATAGAAAAGTTTATCCTCCTGGCTGATTGACATTAGATAGGGATTTTAAAGAAGCTTATCATAGGCTAAATTGTTACCACTGATATAAAGGGAGTTTTACCACATGCTTAAACTACCATTAGTAAGTAATCTCCAGGGAGCATGAATTTCTATTTAAAAACAAACTTTCTGAAAAAATCTGAATCAACTATGCCAGCCAGTATCTTGATTTTTATTTAAAAAAAAAAAAAAGAAAAGTCAAAATACTTAATTTCTATTTAATTTAACTTGATTAGGAACATTTTAGAGCATAAATTGAAACATTGTGACCTGCTTAATTAAAATAGGAAATTGCAATCCCTTTTAGGACATTATTTTGTAAAATGTAATTCAGACACATTCTTCCCTGAGGAATGAGCTCCTAGTGCTATTATCTCTCTTCTAAATGCAAATTTTCAGTATGATGTCATCAGACCTCAGTGAATTTTTTTTGGTTTCCAGGGTGTAAAATTGCTTATCCAGAAAAAAAGACTCCTGGAAGCAAGTGGGTGGTCTGGCTGTCAGCCTCTCCAAAGAATTGTGATAGACTAAGTGAGAAAAACAAGAAAAGGGGACCTGAATGCTGAGAATTCAATTTTAGCAACTTCTGCATTTTTTATTAAAATAACAGAGACAAAAATATCATTCGCTAACTGCATGTATGCTTTGAGGGGAGGACATTAGGAACTTTGTATGCCATGGAAAAAAATATTAAACTTTGCTGAGTTGACACAAAAATATAACACAGAATGTTCTACTTTTTTTATATGACACTAATTCCAAAGGCCACTGAACTCTAACCTCAATCACTAATTTTAATAGGAGAGTAAACAAACATAGCAGTGCCATGAAGCTGGAAAATTATTGATTAGTAAATAGAAAATAATGCCAGGCTTTTGCTATCCTAAACTCAATAGTCAACATTTTTGAGTATTATACATAATGGAGAGAAATGTTAAAGGGCAACAGGTTGAGATTAGTGAACCATTTCTTCTGTTCTGTTCTCTTATACAGAAAAATGTTAACTGTGACTGGCTCCTCCTTAGTAATGGTCTAGCTGCTTTTCTAGTAAAAAGGTAAAAGTCATCCTTGAATAAGTGTATTCATTACATCTTAGAAAAAAGAAGTATATTTAGAGGAGAAGCAAACATTTCACAGCTACCTTTGCAAATGGAGAGAAATTGAACAGGAAAAACAAAATGAGACAATTATGACAACATTGAGGAGTACTTTAATATAAAAAGACTGAATATTTCTTACCTCAAGAATAGGTCTCATTATTTCTGCTGTAGTACCACCTTGTTTTTCACAAAACTTATAAAATGCCTCAAGGTAAGACTACATGAAAGAAGAAGAGAAATATTTTAAATGCTGCTTAAGACCTGGACCAGGATTGCACATAGCTATGAACCTCATTTTTAAATACTTCTATTAACTTTGCTAATTCCACCTATGAATTTAAATTTTAAGTATGTGCTTAATTACTTAGTTCAAATGAAAGTTGAAATATTCAAATGCAGATGTCTTGTTTTTACAATTTGAGATTAAATGTTTTCAAAAATTGTAATAAGAAAATATTATGTTTTACTTGCTCTCTAAAGGAGAAACTTTTTGAGCTCCATTGAGCTTCCACTGCATAATAAGCAGATGGCTAAAGGAAACTCTTCATTTATAGTATGTGGAGGAGGGGATTTGGGTGTATGCCACGGCTGTTGGGCCAGCAGGATGAGGATACACAAACTAATCCCTGCTGCTCTCCCTAAACCCTGGATTAGGACAGAAGCAGACAAAGCTTCTGTAATACTGGTCTGCAGAGCGCTCTGGTCTATTAAAGATTCTGGCATCTGCACCCATTTCAAAATACCTGTGCAGAAAGGACACTAAATATCTCAGAGATGCTGTTCTGCCTGCCTCTCAATCTCCCAAAATACTGTATTAGAGAACATTTATGTTAAAATACATTTGCTACAACTTCACACAATCTTGTTAGGAGCTGTCACTAGCTATGCAATTAAGTGAATTTTAAGTAGAGACATCTCAAGGGGGATCTACGGCATAAAATTATGCATTAGATTCTGTATGGTACTATCTGATAGTAGAGCAGAAGCAATTGATCACATTGACAGCTGAAGTAAAGGAGAAATTATCTATTAATAATTTAATAGTGTTTGCAGAATGGTCCCCCCAATGCTCAGATGAGCAAGAAGAAAAAAAACATAGATTTGATAAGTGTTAATATATGGACATCCACACAGAATCAAATATGTATGTTACCAAATTGGAAAAAGTGTCTAGTATAGCAGTACTGTGAAAGAATTAAAATACATTAAAAATTAATATATGTAGGCATAATTGATGTTGTATCAAATGAGAGAATTAGTAAACATTTTAAGAATTAAAAATTGGCTTTGGAATTTATAAATATCATTTGTAAGACAAACAGAATTTTCTTTCTTTTCCCCTAGTGCAATCAGATCACTGTAAAAAATACTTCCTGCAATCTGGGGAATCCACTGTGAAAGAAAGATGATAAAGATTTTGAAGAGAATGTGCCAGGAAGTACCATTGATGGATTGGAGTATGTATAAACTTCAAAGAGACTATTGTAAGAGCAGTGACCTGGGTGCTAAGATTTGTAAAATACTTTGAAAATGTGAGGCTCATATTAAATGCATATCCTTGCAGCACTGTGCTGTAACAATGCTAAAAATTATTTTTAAAGGAAGAAAATTATACAAAATTCCTAAGTAAAAATTGTGTTAGCTAGACTCAAAACCATTAGACCCTTTCAAATTGCATCTTCCTTATATAAATAAAGATAAATGTTAGCCAAAAGCCTGCCTAGGCTCACTTAGGATCTAAGAGTTCTCATGGTGGCTGAGTTATTCATAAACAAATCTGGATCTGGATATTAGCCTGACATCTAGATCATTTTCATTAATGAGATATTAAATTAGAATTTAGATGCAGACCTAAAATTTGAAAGGTCCCCAAACAGTGGAGTAGAAATGGAAGCAGCTGGGTTTCATTCCTGGGCTTGAAATCTACCAGATGACCTCAGACAGCTTGCTTTATCTCACCAGACTTCTGTTTCCCCATCTATAAAACAGGGTTAATTATACTGACCTGCTTTGCTGAGGCATTTGATAAACCCCAAATATTATCATTTTGTTGCAAAGACTTGCCTTGTACAGTTTGTTGCGCATTATTTCAATGTTCATTTCATCCAGGTCGTTTTCAGACAGGCAGTCTTGAAAAAAAGCAGCTGAAAGCAGAGTTATAACATAGCAGTATAAATCTGCATGCTGATGATATGCATCTCCTGTCTATTGCTCACTAGTGTGTGAACAAAGATCCGAGGGTTCTGTTGTACAAGAAAGGGTGATATAAAAGAGAAGAAGAAAAATCCGCTTGATTTTCCCCTTATCCTCCTATCCTCTCCTTTTTAATGAGAATCTGCAGTAAGGGGAATCAATCAGTGCTGCAGGCAGAATCCATGTCTCTAGGGAGAATCAAATGGGAATGCTAATGAAAGACCTAATCTTCTCTAAAGTATATAGTTTGGTTATTATGGAGATTTTCTAGTGAGGGACATGAAAAATAATTTTTGTCTAAAATCATGCAGGTATTCTGCAATTGTTAAGGAGAATCCTTTTTCCTATTTTCCCTTTTCTTCTTTGCGTATGTAGTGTACAACAGGTTGCAGCTCATAAAGGGCACATGCTTTGACCTTGACCATCTGTGCTTATGGGTGCTCAGCAGAACTGACTAAAGAGTAAGCTTTTGAGCAGGGAGGCAGTGGATGAATTTCACTTGTGCAGTTGGACCATTTAAAAAAATATGATATTCATAACCAATGTGTGTCTCTTGCTGTTGCTGAGCTATCCCAGTGGGGCAGAGCAGTACCATATGAAAAAGTGCTTTCCCAAGCAGTGGCAATGGAAGATGGTATTTACAGAGAAGATGTGAACCTGGCCATGTTTTGTGGTCTTATCCATTCCTACTTTTGCAGCATCCAGATTTTGAATGGAGAATACCAGGAAGTGTAGCCCTGAGAGTTCCCTTCAGTATCTCCTTATAGATCTGTTGCACACAAATTTGTCCCATGACTTTAAAGAGTTGATAACACTCTCTTCTTTTATGAACTAGTTTATAAAAAGAAAAAAAAAATCCAGAAATTTACTACCAGCTCTGTGAAAGCAGTGGTTTTGTTTACCTTTTAGAACTAGTTTTCTGCTGGCACTTGGTCTTATGAAGGATTTGGTAAGCAGCAGTTCATAACTCACTGTGAACAAACCACTGCTCTAAGGAATTTGTAAACCATGTCCATGTCTCTCATCAGCTTTGTCCACTCCAAACTGCAGTCTGGACTTTTTAGTCTGTCTACACATGGCAGCACTGTTCATTTTAGCTGTCCTGCTCTGTCCCTTCTCAGATTTCACTGTACAGTGTGCCAGTGCCCAGGCACTGATGGGAGTGTGCTGCAGGGTGGCCGCTGTGAGGGAAAGGCAGGACTGTGCTGTGCTGGACACAGGCAGCTCCAGCTGGGACCCACCACAGGCACAGCTCAGCCCCTTAGTCGAGCAGGTGTATCTGAAGGGCACCTACCTGAAAAACAAACTGGGACTTTTTACCAGGGCATGTAATGATAGAACAATGGGGAACGGCTTTAAACTGAAAGAGGGTAATTTTACATTATATGTTAGGAAGAAATTCTTTACTGTGAGGATGATGAGACAGGAATAGGTTGCTCAGGGAAGTTGTGGATGCCCCATCCCTGGAATTATCCAAGGCCTGGTTGGATGGGGCTTTGAGCAACCTGGTCTAGTGGAAGGTGTCCTTGCCCATGGCAGATGGGTTGGAGCTAGATGATCTTTTATCTCACTTCCTACCCAAACCAGTCTATGATTCTATGGCTCTAAACTCCCCCTGCCCCTTGGGACTGCCCTGCCTGTCTGGAGGGATGCAGTGTAACCTGTGTATAACAGGGGGGTAGAGAAGAGAAGCCTGGCATAGAGCAAAAAAGGCTGGAGGAAAGGTATTTCCCCCCAGGTTTCTCCCCTAAATGTTTCATTATTTTCTGTTTCCTTATATCTGGATCAGTAATTAAATATGTCATACATATACAAATCAGTAATAAATCAAGTTAATTTCCCCACAGATTTAGTCTGGTTTGCCTGCAACAGTACTTTGTGGGTGATCTCAACTCACAATCTATTTTTTCCACCTTTTTTCTCCCTCTCATTGTGCTGAGAGTAGGGGGTGAGCAAGTGGCTGGGTGGGAATTTTTTTCTGTCTGGGGCCAATCTATCATACCTTTTTGAGAAGCAGAACCCAAAACCTCTCACAGTACTGAAGATGAGGGCACATAATGATTTCATATACATTCAAATACATCCAGTTCTGTCCTATTCTCAGTGCCCTTCACAGGCTATTAGGTTTTGTTCGTGTTGCCTGCTGCACCATATTGAGCAGAGTTTCATCTTAATTTCATAATGTGACATTCCCAAACTTTACCCTGCTTTGCGCTTAGATTTAGTTCTTCAGAATAGGACTTTTCTTTATATTTGAACCATGCCAAAATCTCAAGAGGGAATCTGGGTTCTGCCACAACAGCTAATATTTATTAGTAGCTGTCTGCTTGATCCTTACTGAAGACATATTTTTTAATATAATGTAGGTGTTGAAATAAAAATATATATGTTTTAAATCAGTGACTACTTTGAAAAGATATACATTGCACTTCTTGAGTAACATGTTTTTTTCTGAGTCTGCTATCCAAGGTGGATATAGAAGCTATTAATAAATTTTAATAGAATATGTCCTGAACACCACTTCACATGTTCTTGATCTACAATTCAAGATTTGTGTTAACAAAACACAGCATATCCAGTGGGAAACATCCTGTTCTAAAAGAATACAGGATTTGTAGTTTTGAGACAAAAAAAAAAAAAATTTAGTGTTTTTACCTAATGGTGTGTCAACCAAAATTGCATTGAAGAGTTCAGTGGGGTTTGAGGCAATGCTGACTGCTTCCATTTGCTCAAAGCTTCCCAATGGATGGCACTTGGGAACAAGTTCAGCTATGGGTCGCTGATGTAATGTGCCAGTTATTAAAAGAATTACGTTGTCAATCATATAGCTGTATCTGTATTGGAAAAAAAAAGTAAAAATAAATTACTTTTATCATCAACTTTCTCTTGAAAAAATAAAAACCAAAAATTTTTGAAAATTAGCCGCAATACCAAATTATTATCAGAATGCATGTTCATTCTGAACCAATAGGTCATCAAAAATCAATAGAAGTTTTTCAATAGTAAGTAGATAGCACAGCACTAGTTTTAAACCTGTTTGATACTTGATTGATATGACTGATTTAGAAAATGGACATTTTTAATGAAGGTGGTACTGACACATGACTGTAATAAACATAACATCTGAGAAATGTAGATTCACTGTAACGAGTGACAATGAATGGTATTCAAAGCAAATCACCTGAGCTAGCAACTTTTCAAGTTTGGCATTTTTTTATTTCGTATATACCACCTGGAAAAAAAAGTACATGAGGATCTCGGCACTAAAACTGCAGACTTCATGCAATGGCCCATCTTAAGTTTTCTTCTCACTCAGTTCAAAACATCTTCCCATGAGGGAGCTAAGAAGGGGTTCTTACAGATTTCTTCTCTATTACTTAAAGTTTTCTTTTGAGTAGAAGTTTTCTATCAGCTTCATACTAGCTTTAGTATCAAAGGGGCTAAAAAGAGTCTTGTTAGTGACTTGGAAATGGGAACACTATTCACTTGAATGCCAGTCTTGAGTTTGCATTGTTGACTAAGAACACAGCTAGAAACATACAGAGATTTACATGTTCTCACTCAAAATATGTAAAGAGTGTTTGAGGATCTGGTGGAATGTAGTTCAGTGATTTGTGTGAAACATCTTTAACCAGTGTATCTGTTATTTAACAAAAACAACAGTGGGCAAAGGCTGTGCATACACATCTATACATTTATGTCAATGAGTGTGAGAAAAGAACTGCCAAAATTTTCATGCTTCAGTTTTTATTTCCCTGAAACCAAATGCAAACATTGCATGTCCACAGGCATCCTAGGGCAGCCTTTAAGATCCAGTTAATATATTAGCCTAAAAGTGGTCAGCTACACATGACCAGAAAAAAAAAGGTGATACTTTCTTTTTTACTGTTATAATAAAAATGCTCCTTGAAAGTTAGTTTAACAGTTAATTGTTTATTTTAAAATATATTAAAAGAATAAGATCAAGGGGAGTAAATAGTTAGGTAAAATATCATGCTGCTATTTTGCTAATCCATGTTGTTATACTGTTATAAAGCAGATCCCTGTTCTTAAAATTGTTTAAGTCATTCATTTTCAAGTTTCATCTATTTATGATGGTATTGAGATCAGAGCTTTCTCTTCATATGCCGTCGAACAGCTGCTGACCTTTCAAATAAAGCTACTTGGATCTAAGTACCTTACAATATGCCATATAAAGTCCTCCTGGTTTTTATTTATTTGGTTCAAATAGCATAAAAATTACGACAGGTGTAGGAAGTGTTGTCTTTGCCCCTTTAAAAAAGGTCTACAATTTACCACATGCCTAGGAATTAAATCACTTCCCTGTGCACCATGAAATTGTTAATCTTGCATGAACCATACCCCCCCTCCCAAATGTAGTTTTTCAAATTAATTAATCTCTACCACTTCTTCTGCCACTGTTCACATAAAGAAAACTGTTTCTGTTCTTTAAAATAATTAGCTGCAAAGACAACAGCTCTTCATATACACATACAGTTTCAGAATTTATATTAGCAAGTAAAGCATGCAAATGTAGCAGTATCAAAGTAAATTTGCTGGTTTTAAAACTTAATAGAAATTCCAATATGTCACATTTACACTATTCTAACTGCTTTTTCTGTGTGGTAAGCTATTTTATTACTGTGTGGTAAGCTATGTGGTAATATTACTTACGTGACAAAATTCAGAAAAGTGGCAAGTGGTTCAAAAGCATGGTTTCTAAAGTAATGAAATTCTGTGAGTAGTTTTGTTTTCAGTTTTTCATCGATGGTGGAAACAGTGAGAGGGCCAGTTTCATTAGCCAAGAAATTGCCATAGTCTGTAGTCTGTAGATGTAACTTCAGATCTGTAATTAAATT